GTCGGCCGAAGGTCGGGACAGGGAGAATCAAGAGGACGAAAACAACGGTGGAGATGATGGCGATGTCGAGGTCGAAGACGACGTTGCTACCGAACTCTGGGATGCGGGCAAGCGCAGAGATAGTCAGCGCGCGTACGCCGACGACTCTTCCACCGAGGAGGAGGACGACCATCACGCCCCCGTGAGTAGACCACGAGGGGATCGCCCATGTTGCTTCACGCGTGGGAGCTTGGAGGGGGGGGGGGGGGGGGGGGGGGGGAGGGGGGGGGTGTGATAAAGGGCCCCAGAAGTAGCAGTCAGGACACCGCTGTCGGTTGCTGGTAGGTGGTGGGTGTGCCCTTCACTGGCAGGGGTCTGCATCTCCTTCGAAATTCAGCAGCCCCGCCCTTTCAGCTCAATGCGCGCACCGACTCATCGAAAACCTCGCGACTCAGACAGTGCATGTCAAACGCGCATGTCTGGCTTGAATCTCTCCCCCAACCTTTGGACTTACATATATTTTCTCCGTGTGTGTTGTCGAGCGCATGTTCGGGTGCGCATTCTGATCTGAATCTTGTGGGATACGTGGGTCCTGTCGTTTTTCTGTGCTGCAATATCTTGCGCCTGTTCTTCTTCGTGTGATGTGTGTTTTTGTCAAACACGACCACCTATTCGCTACCCGTCAACGTTCTGCCCGCTTAGAGGTTATCTCGCGATTGTCATATCTCCCTTCGATACACGTCGTCGTGGCCTGCTCGGATCAGCCTGATTTTCCCCAATCTTTCCTGGTTGTGCACTCTCACTCTCTCCCGCTCGTAATTTGGTAAAAGCCGTTTGGCGGGCCATGATCCCACCCACTCACTGCCTTGGTGTAAACAACTCCGAACGCGCACTCCCGATCATCAGGTCATGGTTGCGTCTCGAGCGCGCTCGTTGTCTCAGACGTTCTGGGGGGTGCACCAGGCAAGGGACGGTGGTGCTGCCAATACGACCGTCATGCAAGGGGCTCTCGCTCGACTCGAGAACGAGATAGCCAGCCTGAGGGACGAAAACGAAAGGTGCGCAGTACCGCTGTGTGCGTTGAGTACACCTCATCTTGAAACCATCCTCGTGTCTAATAAGGATATTTCATGTGCCATGTGCGGAGAGATATCACAATGAATGGTGATGGTACCCGCCAGGATAGGCTGGACCTAAATTTCGGCTTTTTCTGCAATGAGACGGCAGGGGTTTCGGTCATAAGGTGCTCGATTTGTACGTGGTAGACACGGCACGCACGCAGCAAAGGTTAGAGGGATGCTACGATAGGGGGTACCCCCTCGGTCACGTGGAGTATTTTGGCGGACTGGTGTGTACTGCCTCAACCAATGAAAAATTGCTTATTGTTTTACGCACCGCGAGATATACGCCAGGCGGCTGCCTGGGCAGAAATGATGTCCTTGAAATGCAAAAATTGAGAGAGTTACGAGCATTTATATGGACCTTGTCGGGCGACAACATGTGACCCATGTCTTAAAAAGTGTCCCCCCTACCGTAGCATTGCTCGTTAGTTGTGCCCCTTTGATGTTTGATTCGCTTCCGTGTTTGGTGCTTCTCGTCGTTGGGTGGTGGCCAGGCTCCGAGCTGATTTAGGCCCTCGGGAGGTGAGCACGAGGCTGCACGTCGCTGAAATATGTATGGAGGCGCATACACCGATGCACGACGGTGCTTCCACTTCTCCTGGACGGGTAAGTGAAAGAAGTTGTTCTCTCCCCCCCAAACAGACACGCAGTTTGTAGCTGTCGCCATACAGTCTTGTAGCTGTTGCCTTACAGTCTTGTACGCTGAACGCGGCGTCGCTACATATGCTTCCAGCTCGATCGGAATTGCTACTGTGAAGTACAGTACCATGCTTTTTCTGTTGAAGGTGGACGTGCACACGAGTGCCCCACGGGACGCCGCCCACGGTGGCCGGACTGCGGTGCCGTCGTTGGAACCAGGGTGCAACGAGAATATCAACACCAACGTAGTGACAAACCTCGCACGCTCTCTCTCTCTCTCTCTCTCTCTCTCTCTCTCTCTCTCTCTCTTTCTCTCTCTCTCTCTCTNCAGCGTCGGCGTCGGCGCAGCCAACGCCGCCGCTGGGGAAACGGAGAGCCCCTTGCCCAGCGTATCTCCGGAAGGGGACGGTTCTTTGCGCTCGCGGGTGGTTGGCTCGTCAAATACGATATGGGGGATGCAAGCCATCTTGGAGACCGAGGACGACGAAGACACAGGCCAAGATCTCGTCTGATTTGTTCTGCTGAACTACACTATCGTGGGAACTTGGACGTTCTTGTTTTTGTTTTCTACACCGTTTGCTCTCTGCCTCGTGCATTGCTATGGGAAGACGCCGCTCGCCCGGCTGGTTGGTTCTGCTTTCAAGTACCTTTTTCAAGTATCAAATATTCGGTTGTCAATCGTGTTGGAGTTGCATATTTTCTGGTCCCCACTCTCAAGGCATGGTCTGTGATAAACCAATTGGAATTCCGAAACAATCCAAACACCGGTTGTTGAAGCATTGTGTTGTGATGATTTGCTTTTTTCTGTCCTGGGAGGGGGCCACTTTTTGTACACATGTGAGGGGTATCGTCCCACAGGCAGTGTGATGGACGTCATCCGACTGGTCGGGTGCGCTAATCGTGCACGACTGTCGACTTGTCCGTCTTGGTTGGGTACGTTGTCCTTGTGGTTGCGTCCTGCGGTTCAAAGTCGGCCTTGGATATCTGGTGAGTGGTTTGAGTCCTTCTGACGTTTTTGGTCCATCGATGCCAAGGTTTCGGTGCGGACCCGAAATTTAGATTCATGTTCGATTGTGGTTGTAGCGTGTTGTCGTTTACGTTGTACGGTTTGTTTTTTTGTATGAGTTGCCTTGTTTATGTTCGCAAATAAGAGTAGCGACGCTCAGTCGACCCTCGGCCAGTAGTTTGCCGTTTTTCTTTCACAACGGAAATCATGCGAGGGAAAAAAAAGGAGCGTCGGGAACCGAGGACAAAAGACCGGCTAGATCGCGTCAGTGTTCGCCACTTAGCTGTTATTTTACGATCTTGCCCATGCGGTTTTTTTTTTTTCATCCCATGACTGGCCCATGTCCGTGAATTTATCTACCTTGTACGCGTTATTTCCATTCCCAGATTTGTTAAAGGGTCACATTTTTCTTGTGTGTGGATTGGTTGGGGTGTTGTTCCACTGCTGACGTTTTGCGCTTGGTATGTTCGTTTGCCGTCGGTATTGTTTGTTTGATGTTGGTGTAAACGCTGCTTTATAGAGTGTTTCCAAACAGATTTATACACAGATCACAACAGCAGCATTCGGTTGCACTTCGTTCGAGGGTCCGTACAGTTTACAGTCTAGTCTTCTACCGCTGTTTGTGTGCTTGAAGAAGAGCAGAATATGCATGGGAACAATCGGTTCGCCGAAGCTCGCGCTGAAAGATATTTGATGCAGACACATTTCCCAGAGGAGTTGGAGGATAGGAGAGGTCGTCTACATGTCCTGCACGCAGTAACGCCTGTCTTGAATGCCGGTTGTTGAGCGAGGCATACCGATCTGCACCGCGGAAAAAAATACAGATGGCGCCCGCACTTAAGAACCTCTAGTTTCGGCCGAGGCTGGGGTTCTTATTTTGCTGATCATCCTTTTGTGGGCTACAAATGGCCGCTATATAGGTTTTAGTGTGGGGTTCTTAACCGATCTCACAAATGGTGCTCGAGTTCTTAGCTTCTGATTTTTTGCGAGTCTCATTTTTTTAACTGCTAAATTCTTAACTGCGGGCGCTATCTGTGCAGCAACACTTGTCACCATGTGAATTGAGGGAACCGTCCTCGACGGATGGATGTTGGGAAGATGGATGTGGAAATGTGACTTGCTCAGTCAGAGCCGCCTTGCTCTTGTTCGCAAGGCAAGATGAAAATCTCCGTTCTGGTGAAACACCATCGCCCCCGCATGCATGCATGCGCGTACGCCAAAACCCAGTGCATGTTGTCAGTCAAAGGGTGACGAAACGACGATGACATTCCACGAAAGAAAAGTTTTACCGCCCGGGGTTGAAAGACATGTGTTTATAGTCTTTTCACCAATATCATACCACCAAATACGCGGAGCACCCACAGCGGCCGCTTTCGTATAGGGACGAGCCGTTGTTCCTCGGCAACTCCAGCTATTGTGTCGGTCCTCAACTTTGGCCAACCCTGAAGAGCAACCCCACGCAAGTCTCTACATCCTGGCCCCAACTATAATTTGAACTGGATTATGCTTTGGCGGTTGTACGGCAGTAGACAACAAAGATTCAAGGAATATGACTTGAGGAGATGTTCCGCACTATTCCCATGCAAAATGAGAAGTACTGCTTGCGGTCGATATGAACGTGTGCACACAGAGCGTGTTTTCTCGAGATAGTGCAAGTAAGCGATCAAATTTCACGTAGTGCAGACTACTCGTGGCCTTTACATTACAGCTGCGCTGGTCGACCCTGGTCCACAATTAATACTGCAACGCAGTAAACTTCCCCACCCCTGCGTGCTCTCAACAAGGAAGAACGCCCTGTAGATGAATGTTGCTATCTGCCTGCCTTTGGTGCGTTTTTTGTGTGATGTGTGGCCTTCGTCTCTGGGCGTCTGTGTGTGAGCCTTTGGACGTTGGTTCCGAATAGAGCCAGTTTTGGAGGGAGAACCAAAAACATGTCGATTCCTGCGCAGCGCAACACCGTGTGGTCGGTGCCCGCCCGGGTTCGTTCTGTTGGCACGAGTCTTTGAGTCGGCACCGGGGTGTACAAGGAGACAAGAATGGCACGATGTTGAAATTACCACGCCTTGAACCAACCTAACCCTAACGAACGAGGTTGCTCACGACGCAAACGACCACGATCCACTTGGCGAGGGAGGCACTCTGATTGGACGAGGTTGACGGCAAGTACCCGAGAAATGAGGAAAGGCATTTTTCTGCCCAGCTCCCCTGCTGTCCAGCTCCTTATCGTTCCTGAGGCTCTTCCCTACAGCCCACACGAGAAGAAACTTTGCCTGGAGAGCGCACCCAAGACCGTATTCGCCGCAACCTGGAAAGTTGGCCCTCACATCGTTTGATCAGTGCGGCATTCGTGGGTCCACAAGCGCATGAGCGATCAACCCTCTTCACAACCAACCAAACCAGCAGCCTCTCTCACACGCCGTTGCTGCGGGGTTGGTCATCTCCGGCAGATAAGGACCAGGAATCGGGATCCTCCCACTACAACACCTTCATCTCCCCCCTTTGTTGGTGAGTCAAAGTCCTGTGCAAATGCCCGAAAGCGTCGAACTACGTAGGGTAGAGTACCAGCAGTAGATGTCGTTGTCTATCATACATACAAGAATGCCTCTGACGGTGGCGATTGCATTTTCCGGGGGCAAGAGGACAACCAAGCCCAAAACACCCGGTGGCCAGGCAAGGTGCCCTCCACGTGGAAACCATGGAGCACCCCTCCCCCCTGCGGGACCAAGTGAGATTGACGCCCGGGATCAGTACTGCAGGTGGCACGGGTCACTTGCAGTTGTCTACTCTACAGGATGTTGGGTGTCCACAGCAGGACATGACAGAAGATAACACACACCCTGGACCACTGTTCAAAGCTCGATTACGCCAAGAAGAGTGGGGTGTACAAAGGAAACAACATATGAATTGGAAGGCTGTCGACGAGACAGCTTCAACGCCACCGTTCGGCGCTGTGACTCTTTCTGTTGAGAAATCGAGATTTGAAAAATCGGTTCAGGGGGTGTGGTATCTTGTGTTTTCTACGGCATATACTCTTCATTGTGTAGGCTTTTGTGTCGCATTCTAATATTCATGCAATGATTCTCTTTGTTCTGTGGGTTTAAGTATAGCATATTTTTAAGCCCATGTATAACGAGGGTATAAAGATGCAGGTATGGCCATACTAAATGCTACCTGGTACAGGCTGCAGTACCGCTTTTCTAAAACCCATGCACAATGATACAGAGGTGTAATCGTTAAGTACGGCAGCGCACCCTATACTGGTAGGCTTTAGTGTCGCACTCTGAAAGCCCATCGTACCGAGGTGTATTGGTACAAGTATGGCCACAATACACCCTCTACAATACATATTATACACTCAAGTAGGTTTATGTATACCGCACTAAACGTGTAACGAAACATCGTGGTAGGTTGAAGTATTACAAACTGAATACTACCAGAAGACCCCCACCCCCCTTCGCGATCAAGATTGAGGCATATCCTCGGGGTGCTCCATGGTTTCCTTTCGAAGGTTCCAAGGGTAGGTTCTGTAGGGTACCCACAGATCCACACCGGGGGTAGGTACCCTCGGTAGCTTCCCCACAGACGAGTTCTGTGAGTTCTGTGAAGGTCGCGCCACAACTGTCAGTACCCTATAAATCTGTGAGTTCTGTGACAGACCCAGTACCCTACCGAACTTTCTGTGACAGCTCGCTTACAGAACTCGAAAGTTCTGTGAGATCTGTGACGGCGCACCACAATACCCTATAGTTCTGTGAGTTCTGTGACAGACCCATTACCCTACCGAACGTACCCTTACCCTACAGAACCTACCCTTGGAAAGGTTCACTTGCGGTCGCTGACTTACTTTGAGGCAGCGGACCATGGAATAGGTAGAATGTTGGGCCCACGCATGAAGCAATGCGGTGGTCGACTGACGGGATATTTTGTTCGTGACCTACTGGCCTTCACCTGGGGAACAGAAGCACTACTGTACTAACTGCTGCAGACTATGTCATGTGTGCATGATTTACCGACGCTTTCAAAATCCCATGACCGCCGCAGGAGCGGTGGCATACCAATCAGCAGGGGCAAGGGCTGCAGCTGAGGCAGCAGAGGCGACCAACGCTGCAGCAGCAACCTTGCAATCTGAATTTTCCCCGTCGATCGTTGCGGGACAGGTATGCCACTGAGTGATTCCTTTGCGTTGCTGATCGGTTGGTACACCCTCGTACCGTGCTGCCCTCCTGTCCACCTAGTCTACGGTCGGCGCCGTGTGTGAGCAGATCGTTGGAGGATGTGTGTGAGGACTACGTGCAGGATGATTTATCGCATGGATCGGTGTTCCGAGCAGTTAGTCAAGTTGATAAAAGCTAATGGCGCCTCCAATCAGCTACCGTATGGTTGACCCCAGCCTCCTATTCCTGTTGTTCCTGTTGTTTCAATCACCTTGTTCAGGGGAATGCTGAGAGGCGACAACACCGGCAGCAAGGTTTCCGGTAAGAATCGGGGCTAGGATACACACGTGGGTGGGGTGAACGGTATTTGGCTATGGTCGAGAATGCCAGCCCTGTGCGTGGTCTATGCTGTCATTTGGTTCTGTCGCGTAACCTGCATGCCCTCTTCGCGAAACCTCTACTACATTCAAATCACGGTGCCTTACTTGTCGCAATTCGTGCCATCTTGCACTCAGGCTCGATTTCATCAGCTGGTAGGGGCGCCAAAATTGGTCGTTTGACCGTGGCTGTCAAGGTGAGCTTTGCGTACCACTCCGATCGACGGGCTGTTCGACGACGGGCTGTTCGACGACGGGCTGTTCGACGACGGGCTGTTCGACCCCACACATTGTCGGAATGTCGACATTCCCCTTCAGATCTGCCACATGCGAACGGAAGGGGAATCAGGGCACAAAACCTCGAATATTTCCGCCAGCCTGGTGGTAGTAACGCCTCTTTCTCTCGTATGGATCCCACTCACGCCTGGTGTGCTTCCGTCATGCAGCGTGCGGAGTCAGACGTATCCGACGGTGAAGAGGAGGAACGATGCACACCACACGACACCGAAGATGGAACAGACAACGAGGTTTCAGAAGCTGGCTGCACCGATCAGGGGAGCCAAGGACAAGGCCAGGTAGGTATCCCTCCGGGTGCTTCGTCTGGTGCAGTGTTGGCTATCTGCGTCAGGGTTGGAGTTCCACGTTTAGTTTCGACGACCCGCGTGCCTGCTCAACTTCTCCACGGTGCCGGTTGGCAAACGTGCAGCTTTGCACTTGATGTTGATGATAATGATTACGTTTCCGTTGGTGCCTGTTTGCCGGGAGAATTGCCACCACTCGCGCGCATGTTTATACCCATCAGCAGGTCAATTTGTGTTTGCTATAGCTCTCTCTTACACCATTACAACCGCCTTCGCCATCAGAAATGAGCAGCCGATCCTGTCTCGACCGATTGGAGGCCTCACGCAGCCGGTCATGTGGTTGTTACTGTTGATGGTTTTCGAGAATCGAATTGTACCATGACGTCACCGCCAGCTTCCTTTGTAGCACATATGGTGATGACCGTGTTTTTTTCGATGACTTAATCAGGTCATCGACCGCAGAGTGGACATCCTAGTGAAGGAGGACGAGGAGGACGAGGAGGAGGAGGAGGAGGAGGAGGAGGAGGACTACGAGGAAGAGAAAGTAGGCTAGCGCTCATGTAGATGTGATACTGTTCTCATGTGCATTTTTCACCTGATTTCGAGAACCGTTGGCCTACCTCACCGACCTGTTTGCGGTCGAGGGTACGTTGAAATAGTGCGCAACTAGCGATGCAAACATCGTCAGTATGGCCTGGGACATGGACGCTGTCACGGACACTGTCGTGGTAAAGTGTTTGTGTGCACGAACAGGCCGGGATACATCCATCAGATTCAAGCCACGACACCTCATGGCAAGGGCTCCTTGAGTTCTTAGATATGTTGTCGTTGTTCTGTGTGGGTATCGCCTTGGTACCCAAACCAAATCGTGTTTGCCGGTTCCGCACTAACAAGCGGAGTTGGTATTTCCACCTTTACGTGGTGTGATGTCGCGAATGACTGGATTGTCCTCGATATTCAGATGGGTTAAATCCCCTTTGCAGAATCTACGGGACCCGTTGTTTGTTGTGCCTGATGACTCGCTCCAGACAAGACCGAGCAAGCGCAAGCCCGGTGGTATATCCAAGGCCATCCGCCGGTACAGCGTCCGGTCCGCCAGCAGCCGGCAACTCAGCCAAGCCGAAAGGTGAACAAGAAGTGGGCTTTTTCTGTTCGAGTGTAACTACCACACGATATGCTGGGATCAACCGCGCGTAGGTGTGGTCGTTATGGTTTTAATTTCTGTTTTGAGTCTATGTCGAAACTAAGACTTTGGTTACGAATTTTTTGCCAGGATCTTCGACCCAAGATCTACGGCCCCGACGTTTTCCCCACACACAAGCATACACCGGAGCAGAACTGAAGCCTGACTGTGCTGTCCAACTTTGTTTCTCGATGGCTTGCCCTTTGGTTGTCGAGCGTGTATGATATGTTTGACTCGTGTGAGTCACATACACCACCAGTGGAGCCCGCAGTCTAGACTCCACTCTTGCCTCGGCCGAATGGCCGAATATGAGGTGGCTGCACAAGGTTGGAAGTTCAAACGAGTGAGGGTATTTCACCAAGGTTGCTGTCCGTTCATCCCCCCCCCCCCCCCCCTCATATCCCTCTCCGGGAGGAAGCAGACTTAGTATCGCTTCGAGTGAGACTGGGGGCTACACCTGGAATGCTGTTGTTCTGCTGCTGTTGCTGCTGCTGCTCGGTCTTTGGTCATAACGGGAATCGTCCTTCAGACGTGTGTGCCGGCAATCTCTTCTTTCCACCACTCGAGGCAAGCAGTATACTTTGGTCACAAGCTGACCCAAATTTGAGATAGGTTTTACAAAACGAAAACCACGGAACGGGAAGGAGCATTGCCGACACTAAGACGAGCAACAATCCTTTTGCCAAAATCGATGGGAAGCTAGACCACAAAGTGTTCTGCCATTTTTTAATTTTGTTTTTTTCCATCATGTCTATTCTGAGCTCCAGTCTAAACATTGCGGTGTATGTTTGACACACGAGGCGGGGTCACACAAGAGGGAGTCGAGCTTTCCCCCTGGGGTCATGACCTTCAAGGTTTGACGCTGGAAGCGTTCAGCAATCTCTCTCATTGTTGTGCGTACTCACGACCGTGTGATTTTGTGGCTACCATCTTGCGAGTTTCCTCTCGACTTTTTGGCGGGGGCCTAATGCGCGAGACTTCCGACAGACCCATGATCTACCTCTTGGCATCTGCATTACCAACTTCGCCCGATCATCTCGATTGAAGCACCATCTCACCGTATCCCACCGTCAGCCTAGCTTTGATGGTTTGCGGAACCATTCAGGCGGTGTGCGTGGCAGCTGGTATCTCTAATCGATTGAGTACATCGCTGCGAACTGGAGATGACCTGCAATTTGTCCATGACGTGCATAGGCAGTCTGTTTGACCATTTTGCTTCGCCCAACGCCATGAACCATGGTGTCATGGCGCGGTTGCATTTGTTCATTCCAGCACGTGCCGTTATCACCGCTCCCGATGATTGGTGATCTTTCGCCTGTGTATTTGTCGTTTTGGATTGCCAGCCGGAAGACAGCATCATCCAAGCGCCAACGGATGACCTCCGTACCAGGAGCAAAGGAGCAACGCTGGGGGAGTGGGACGGCGTTAACGCACACGACGGCGAGTTTGGTAGACGATTCGTTCGACCCGTGTTTCTATGCGATCAGATCATGATTGTGCGGTTGGCCCCGTGCATGGTGTTCGTATCTTTGGTTTTGTTGCGCACGTCACTCCGACCGTGCACTTTCCGAACTGTTAATGGTTGAATGAGGTTGATGGTGGGGTAGGTTTGGGGTGTTGCTGCCGGAAACCTTCTTAGTATTGCACGCAACCAAGCACCGGCGAAAGTATCAATCTATCCTGAGCGGTGACAATGCTGAGAGGAAATAGGCCATGGGGTTCAACTCTGGCGAGTCTGCACCTGTATGTGTTGGCGGTGTTTCCGACCATGTAACTAGTGTCCAAAATATTGATTTGATGTGTTTGAGGCAAGGCAAGGGGGATAACATGTAGACTTCGTAGAAGCGCCTGTGGTTTTGCTGGCCGCGGAGAAGCCTTGAAGTCAGTTCGCGCTAGGACACAGCTGGTTTAAACGGGATCGCATGTATTCCGAGTGGAATTTGACGAACGAAGGCATGGTCTCCCACACCTCCGTGGCAGCCGTTTCTCCAGGCGGATTTCGAAACGTCTGACGCATGGCGTAAACCGTCGGTTTGATATCAAACGCCAGCGTGCTGTGAATAAAAAGGCGCTTGAAGTACCAACCGCACAACAGGCCGAAAGCTGCTGAAGACAAGTCCGAGGCTGTGTCGGTGCCGTTCTCGCGCGGAAGGCACGGGGAAGAAAAGCCTGAACTAATCTAGAACGGACGCAGGGAAACGCTAACGGTTTGTGTGTCTCTCGATGCTGCCCGATGGCGCTCGTATTTTGCTGTTTTGACAATCTTCAACACAATGGAGTGCGGGTTCTGCTCAATCGTTTTCGAACTGTGCCCTTCTACAGCCATCGCGTACGCCCACCAGACTCCATGGCCAGCGACAACGGTTGTGCTGCCAGGAGGACGGCTGCACAACAAGGCCATCCTACGGAAACGCTGGCTGCAAGAAGGCGGAGTTCTGCTCTCAGCACAAGAAGCCAGGGATGATGAACTTGGTGAGCAAGAGGTGCGGCCATCCATGGTGCGTAAACAAGGCGTCATTTGGTATGGACGGCAGCACGAAGGCGGATTTCTGTTCTCAGCACATGATACCAGGGATGATAAACTTGGTGCACAAGAGGTGCGGCCATCCAGGGTGCATGAAGCACCCGTCATATGGTATCGACGGCAGCCAGAAGGTAGAGTTCTGTTCTCAGCACGCCAAGCCGGGGATGACCGACGTCAAGCACAAGAGGTGCGGCCATCCAGGGTGCATCAAGAGGCCGTCATATGGCAACCGCGGTAGCAGCAACGTGGAGTTCTGCTCCCAGCACGCCCAGCCGGGAATGATAAACTTGGTTAACAGGAAGTGCGGCCATCCAGGGTGCATCAAGCACCCTTCGTATGGGAAAATTGGCAGCAAGAAAAGGGACTTCTGCTCTCAGCACGCCAAGCCTGGGATGAAGAACGTCAAGGAGACATGCAGCCATCCAGCGTGCATCAAGAGGCCATCGTACGGCAAAGACGGTAGCAAGGCGGAGGTCTGCTCTAAGCACAAGAAGCCAGGGATGATGCACCTTAATGGCAAGAAGTGCGGCCATTCTGGGTGCATGAAAGAGCCATCATACGGTGATGACGGCAGCAAGAAGGCGGAGTTCTGCTCTCAGCACAAGAAGCCGGAGATGGTCGATGTTCGTAGCAAGAGGTGCGACCATCCGGGGTGCGTGAAGATTCCGTCGTATGGTAAAGACGGCAGCAAGACGGCGGCGTTTTGCGCTCAGCACGCCAAGCCGGGTATGATAAACGTGAAAAGCAAGAGGTGCAGCCATCCAGGGTGCATCAAGTGGCCGTCATTTGGTAACGAAGGGGGCAAGGCAGAGTTCTGCCTAAAACACGCCAAGCGTAAAATGGTCAATGTGCGGCGTGTGTAAGACCAGCGGTCGCAATGCGAGGTATTGCTGGACATGACGTGGCGTGCAATTGTGAAAGTTCGTGACGTGTGTTTCGGGATGCATTATTGGTGACCCCGCCAGGGTTGAACTTGATACATCACTGACTTGGCAAAGGCGTTGTCAACGATTTCTTGTTTTGGACGGTCGTCCAAGCGATGCACCCAGCCAAACCCTCAACTTTACACATGCACCTGGGGCATGCACGTACGATGTTTGCGTGATGAATTATGCTCCAGTTTGGTCGGCTTGTTCACGACTTGCAAGGTGGCGGGGGAGATACACGGTGTACTAGCTGGAATCAGGGTTTAGGCAGGAAGGAGAGTGATCACCCTCTCGAGCCTCGAGGCCAGCCTGCAGGCAGGTGTGGTATGGATAGGATGGGGGGTGATGCGATCAAAGCGATTTATTACCACGTCGAGATCATGTACCGCGGGGGGGGGGCGAATGCGCAGTACGGTCGTGATTTTCGAACCCTAAAGATTTCCCTACCACAAGAGTGACTTCCAGATACGCTGGTTTGACTAGCAATGCAACCTTGGCACGCCGAAATGGTCGTATTGGATTGTAGTCGGTCGACGCTTCGGAGGAAGCTCGCCAAAATTCTGCCTGGTGGCGAAATCATCCTTTGTGGTGTGGAACCCTGCGGTATGATGACCGACTCTGACGCTATCTATTGTAGTCTGACGAAGAGATCATTTACAGCTCCGGGTGGTGCATAAGAAACCAGATTGATGGGACTGCTGTGGTCTGGTGTGACGGACAAGTTGGTTGTGGAGGTTGGTCATGAAAGGGAAATTATGTACCGAGGGTGAAGGATCGGCGCTCTGTCCCCACTTGGCCGAATGGCCAGGATTTGATACAGATGAACGGTCGCAGTAGATGATGAAGGCCAGGGCAGTAGCGACGGGGCGCGTCACTCAAGGCGCGTCACTACGGAGATGCACGGAAATCCATCTAACGCTTTCCGTAGCGTGCACCTGCCTTGACCCCTGTTTTAGCGGCCTACAGCGCTTTGTCAACAGCATTTTCTACTTCACAGACCGGCCGTATGTGAGGTACAATTGGGTGTGATAGCTGCGTTGCGGCGTTCAAGTTGTGAAGCGTTGATGGTTGCCAGACAACGAGCAGGTTCGCAGTATCCATGCTGGTCGCGGGCCAAACTTTGGCGATCGCTAGCGTAGATGGGAAAGGGGAACGTCTGTTGATGTGAAGTCCGGCCAGAGCCCGTCAGCTGGGCTGATCGAAACATTTTTTCGTTGGCCAATTCAGAGGGGGGTGGATGAAGATCCAATCGTTTTGACGTGTCGTTGGTTGACCGCCGAGGGTTTTACTTTTGTGCCATGGTGTGGTTCACCTGTTCCAAGGCAACGATGCCGTTGGGATGGTAAGTGCTCGTCGCGGTTTTTGTCACGCACGCGAGATTAGTTAACACACATGGCCATCGAGTGGTCGGTGAAAGTTGTAGTCTACTGTTGTCCGGGTTCATTTTATTTGAGCACGTCTGCGGTGTGCCTTCCCCTCATCAGGTTGTGTCAGACACAGCATGCATACATGTCCGCCCCACGAGTACGTACAGCGAAAGGTGAAGGCTGATGAGTTCCAGTCGGTCCCGCGAGGTGCCATAGAGAGAGTCCCGAGTATGTGGCGCTGATGGTCACGCCTGGCCCAGTTGGAAGAGTGGAGTGTGGTAGGTTTGGGAGACGATGGGCGAAAGAACGCTGTATGTGGCGTCGTCGTGATATTCTCGCTTGACGTCCGAGACGATGCGATCATGCTACATACCACCAGTTACATGTAGTGCAGATTCGCACACCAGCTAAAAAGCATAAAGTCTGTATGTGGGAGAGAATGCGACAAGTCTCGAGACGACACAGGGGCTGATGTGGTACCATGGGCTTGTATGGTCCATGGGCGCACATCTGTACTGCTGTACACATGGAAGGCCACAAACATTTGTGTCGCCCCGGTGGTCTGGTTGGTATCCTTGAAACCTTCTACAGGTCAGGTCAGGGGTTCGAATCCCAGCGTAGGCGCGAGTTTCTTGCAAAGTGAGTTTTTCTCTCGCTTCCGCTCCTGGCCTAGTGGATAGCGCTAATAGTTCGAGTGTACACAGAGGGAAGAGAGGGCTGAACTCTTCTCGCAGAACACACCGAAGGCAACGTATCGCAGGAGGGGAGGGTAGAGAGGGGTTCTTCTGTTTGACCACGAGTTGGAGTAAACGGCACTCGGGCTGTGAGCGCTGATTCAAAAAAAGTAATTATAAAGACTAGACTATACATATATATTGTACACGTACAGCAGTCGTATACAATTGGAATACATGGCCACCGCCGCCGTTGCCATTGGAGCTGCTGCCGATACCGCCTCTCCTGCCGCCACCGCGGGGACCCCGGCCATTCCCCCCGCCTCCGTCGCGGGGAGAGATGTACACGGTACTCTCTACGCACAGAAGAGTCTAACACACGTCCAACGTAAGCCCACAATCCCCCAGAGAGTACTGCGGTGAACCGCACCCATTCCTCCGGATTCTATACAAGTACAAGGAAAGGGGGCTCATCGGTGTGCCCTGCTCCCTGCCTATAGTGCATGAGTGCCTTCGCTGATTGGTGTCAGACATTGGACGCCATATTTGAGTTCGAGGAGTGCCCAGTTTTCGACGCGAAGAAAAACACACGTAAACCAAGTCAGGAGGGTAATGGCGTCCGTTGAGTTCCTGCCTGGTTTCGTTCATTTGGCAGGGATCATTGAGCTGATACTGAGAGGCGTGCGAAAGGGCAAGAATGAAATGATGATGATAGCGATGACGCCTTGGCGCCGACCAATGCCGGTCACTGGAGTCGGCCAAACCTCGCGTGCTCGCACGTCTGGTATACATGACCACACTTCACCAGCGAGGCGGTGACTGGCCGAGGTCAACAATCCAGCGGACCGCCAAAACCTTCCGAGGAGGCTACTGATTTCAGCCACCCAAGAGGCATCTGTTCTCCACTTCTGTGCCCTCTGCTAAGTCTCCGCCTCTTCCCCGCGGCCTAGGCGAGAAGGGACTTTCCCAGAGCAACACTCGGAGAACTTATCCGCCGCAAAAGGGAACATTTGCCCTCACATCGTGTGATCGGTGCGACATTGATGGTCCCAAAGCGAATGAGCGACCTCTTCAATCCACCCAAACAAGCTGCGCCAGTGTTGTTGTTGTTGTTGTTGTTGTTGTTGTTGTTGTTGTTGTTGTTGTTGTTGTTGTTGTTGTTGTTGTTGTTGTTGTTGTTGTTGTTGTTGTTGTTGTCTTCACATTACAAAACCGTTCGGGTTTCCACTCGGTACCTTCTAATATCCGTACTGGTCCAACCGACGCGGACGCCTTCCGTGGTCACAAGCCAACTGCTCCCCACAGGGGGGGGGCGGGGAGTACACCTCTACTAGCTCGGGAGGTGGAATAGCTTCTTGTTGATAAAGGTACCTGCAGTAGGCTCGTGCGTAGCTACCATTGGCCCGTTTACTACACAGCAGTATTACAATATATTGATTGAGGTGTGGGGGGCGCCAATGACCTCTTCCTGGGTGCCCTTTCGGACGAGTATGCCATGACAAAGCACAACCTGCGACACGCGNCTCCCCACAGGGGGGGGGCGGGGAGTACACCTCTACTAGATCGGGAGGTGGAATAGCTTTTTGTTGAAAAAGGTACCTGCAGTAGGCTCGTGCGTAGCTACCATTGGCCCGTTTACTACACAGCAGTATTACAATATATTGATTGAGGTGTGGGGGGCGCCAATGACCTCTTCCTGGGTGCCCTTTCGGACGAGTATGCCATGACAAAGCACAACCTGCGACACGCGAAGGAGTTGACGCGGACCGGTGTGCNTAACTGTCAACGAAACGTTCGTCCTTCACCTCTTCCTGGATGCCCTTTCGGACGAGTATGCCATGACAAAGCACAACCTGCGACACGCGAAGGAGTTGACGCGGACCGGTGTGCTAAAGGAAGTAATGATCGACTACCAGGCGATCAAGGACAAGCTGGAGCAGGGGAAAGGAAAAGGGGCGAAGAGCGCAGAGCAAGGGTACTTCGCCGACGTTGAGGGCCGCAGGGAGCGGTACTCAAGTTGGAGTCAGGGGCAAGGTCGTGGTCATGGCGGCGGCCGTGGCCGCAGCAGCAGTCGTGGCCGCGGCGGAGGCGGTCGCGGCGGCGGCGGTCGCGGCGGCCGCTCAGGCGGATCCGGAGGAGTCGAGGAGAGCAAGGGAAGCAGCAGTGGAGGCGCCGATGGCGGCGGTGGCGGGGACTATAAGTTCCCGGGCCGGTGCTGTAGGTGTGGACATCGTGGACATCAAGCGATCGGCTGCATTACCAACGAGAAGGACTTCGTGCCGTGGTGTGCGCGCTGCGAGGGGTGGGGCCACACCAAAGAAAAGTGTGCGACGGAGGAGGCCGTCCTAGCGCAAGTGGTGGAGCATGAGAACGACGTGGACTCCGTGGAAGACCAGGCGATTTGTGCGGTGGCAGTCCCCTCAGGCGAGTGTGGTACCGTTGGTGAAGTAGGTCTAGTGGGGGTTGTGGAACAAAGCCAGGCGGTGTACGTGGCCGACACAGCGGCCACGTGCTCCATGTTCCGATGTGCAGACAACTTCATGAACTACCGTGAGCGTAGCGGTTGGATGAAAAGGATCGGAGGCGACAAGGCCCCCGTTCCTCTTCTAGGATACGGAGGTGTGACCTTAGTCCTACAGACGGAAGATGGTGGAGTACCCGTACCAGTACTGAATGCTGCCCATGTACCAGAGGCCCCCTACAACCTCCTCTCGCTGTCTTCGTTGGCGGAGGAGGGCCACACGTATTCGGGGATGAAGGGGGGCCTCACGCTGACCACGAAAGCCGGGGGGGAGGTGTGGTTCCCCCGGACTGGAAAGCTGCTGACCCAACGAGGCTATCAAATAAAGCCAACGCTACACACCGCCTGTGCCGCACTCATTGTTCCTGGCGATGCGAAAGCAGCCAACCCCACTGACCTCAACGGGTACCACCCAGCGCACGGCCATGCCAACGAGACATTGCTCAGGATCACGGCGGAGCAGCAGGGAGTGCAGCTGACGGATGGACCGCTGCTACCCTGTCTTGGCTGTTCGATGTCCAAGGGACAGGTGAAACCCGTCCAGAAGAGCACGAGCACACGCGCAGTTAAGAAGTTATTTCGCGTGTATCTCGACTTGGGGGGAAAGATGAAAACCAGGAGCATTGGCGGCAACTGGTACACACTGATCATCAGAGACGATTGCTCCCGTTGGACGTGTGTTTTCTTCTTCAATCACTCTGACGCAGCGGTTGGGTTTGAGAAGTCCCTGGCGGACTACCGAACGAAAGGGGTTCCGTGTAAGGTTTATATCGCACGTACCGACGGTGGCGGCGAGTTCCAGGGGCAGTTTGCGGAAGTTTGCCGCAGACACGGCATCAAACAAGAGTTTACCCCCCCTCACACCCCCAAGTACAACGGTGTAGCGGAGAGAGCGCTAGGGTTGATCACTGATGCCGCGCTTGCGTCACGCATCCAAGCGACGCAACTGTTCCCCGACGCACCGAACCACCCCGGGTTGTGGGCCGAGGCCATTTCGTGTGCATGCCATCAGCTGAACTGCACCGCCACTAAATCAAACGAGGGAGACAAATCCGCCTACGAGATGTTCCACGACTCCCCACCGCCTGTCGGGTCTACATACCCGTTTCTCAAACCAGCCGTGTTCAAGTCGAGAAGAAAAGCAAAGTCGCAACCCAAGGGCGAAAAAGAATGGTACCTACCTTGGTCCTGCCCACAATCACCCCCGTGACTGCGTTTGTATGCTAACCGAAGCTGGAACCGTAATCACCACCCGCAATTTCACCTGGCGCCACGTGCCCGCTGCATCGCCCGCTCCCCCGCAGCTGCTAC